TACATCGGTGACAATCACCACAGATGCCTCACTCCTAGATTGTGGGGAGCACATCTGCACCACAAACATGCACGGGGGCAATGGACAGTAGATGAGACCAGACAACACATAAATGTACTGGAACTAAGGGCAGTAAGGAATGCGTGCCTTCATTTTCTCCCTACCATTCGGGGCAGAATGGTACAGATTCTCACAGACAATATCTCAACAATGTATTACATTAACAGACAGGGAGGAGCACCTCTTACCAACTGTGCCAGGAAGCACTGAGCCTCTGGGAATGGTGCATTCCACGGAACATACAGCTGACTGCCACCTATCTACCAGGCAAAGACAACATGCTGGCAGACAGGCTAAGCAGACAATTTCCCCAGAATCACGAATGGGAGATGAACGAAACAATACTCAACCACCTTTTCAAGAAATGGGGTTTCCCAACAGTTGACCTCTTCGTAACCAGCAGCAACTCCCGATGTCCATGCTACTGCTCCAGAGCAGGCATAGGTCTGGACTCTCTGGGGGATACTTTCAGTATAGAATGGAACGCACACTTAGCATACACATTCCCTCCCTTCCCCTGATACAGAAAGTAAACTTCAAAATCAGATGGGACAGGGCCAGAGTGATACTTGTAACACCCAACTGGCCCAGACAAACCTGGTATCCTTACCTGTTATGGATGAGCGTACTGCCACCATATCGCTTTTCGCCAGTACGTATGCTGATCATGCAACAAAACAGTCAAATCCCTCATCCACACATCCACAAATTACATCTGCGAGCATGGATGCTTGCTGGCTGACCCCATCAGAACAGAAGACAGGACTATGCAACACTTTAAAGACTAACAAGATGGTTTATTAGGTAATGAGCTTTTGTGGGCCAGACCCACTTCCTCAGATCAATATGTGGAAGAAAATTGGCACGACCATATATACCAAAGTGATACAATCAAAAAAACAGTGATTGTATCACTTTGGCATATATGGTCGTGCCAATTTTCTTCCACATATTGATCTGAGGAAGTGGGTCTGGCCCACAAAAGCTCATTACCTAATAAACCATCTTGTTAGTCTTTAAAGTGCTGCATAGTCCTGTCTATTGTTTCAGCTAGACCAGACTAACACGGCAGCATCTCTGTCCCCATTAGAACAGACATTCACAGATCCGGTGCAACATGTCCTCGTCAACT